TGAGATTTTAAGATTAGAGTAGCAAGTATTTACCTTCATTAGTGCACAGATAAATTAAGCACTGACAGAACAAAATTTCAGAGATATACTGCTAACCTGAGATCTAAATTTCTCCTTTTGGATTCATTTTACTAATTCTTCCATCTTTTCCTTTCCTCTTCCTTCTCATAATTTCCCTGTGTTCATTTTAATATGGAAAAATAACCTCTGTTGAAATATAAATTTAGGAGGGAATGCTGCCAAAGGCTTATCTTATGGAGTGCCTTGAGAATTTAACTTGTATTTTATTTTTCATTGCTATAGCAAGAAACCTTTTTGTTAGGCTTTTGAGGGGTGAAACATCAACAGCAAATAACAGGGATTTGCCCCACCTGTTCTCCAAGCTGGACAAAGAACTCACTCTGTATTTCTAGCAATTGGGTCTTTCTAAATAGGCCATCAATCTCTTCTAGAAAGGATAATCTGCTCCTTTGCAGGAGAAAAGGCATGAAGGATGTCTTCTAATGAGAACCTTAAACAAATATCAAGGGTTAGCAGGACCATGAGCACAAGACAGGAAAAAGAACAAAGAAATGGTTCAGGATACCTGATGATGTTCTAAGGCCAGTGTCATGCTGGAGCCTGTGAACCAAATGAAGCATGCAAGAGGGACTCCATGTTAAGTGCTTATGGCCAGTGCATGGAGTAGGGAACCTGTCTCATACTCTTTCCCATGCTTCCCTGAGAGTTGACCAACCACCATTTAAGGACTCACCTCTGATGCCCCAAGACGACTGCACAACTAATGGAGTAGTGAAGAAGCAAAATAACCAGTGTTTTGTGAGACTGATAAATCTGTGCCAGTGAGTCTTGAATCTAGATCAGACAGGAGTGGATGCTCTATTACTTAAAAATTGTATGCAACTTTATCCCAGGCATAGACATGTTATATTCTTATTGATTTCCACCCTTCAATATTCTTAACTGATATGGTTTTGTGTAGATTATCCCAAGTAAAATAGGGAACTCCGGGGCTTTAATAATACAGCTGCCACTTGGATCAAAACTTTTATAGTTAGTACAAGTTTCCCTCCTCTTCTGTGTGGCTTCTTCTCTTAGGTCATGCTGGCTTCAGAATGGCATCCTGGGAGAGTAGAAAGAACATCATCTTCGGAGAAAAAAATATCTCTGGGAAATCAACATATCCTTCTTTGAATTTTTTTTCTTCTTTGGGCAATTTACGTCATGGAGCTGTGACCAGGTTGAAGTGATCTATGTAAGGGCATCTAGCATGTTGCTTGGCTCATGGCAGGAACTCGGGAAATCTAGAGATACTATGCAAGCATAGTTTCCACAATTAAATGGACGTTTATATTTCTGCATCCAGGGAAACCCAGGGATAAGATCTATTTTTCCTAATAAAGGTATAGCCATGCTATTTCCCTCATATCTGCTTGAGCATTTGACTTTCTTCTCTTCATAGCTCCTTTGGGCCTGAAAGCTCCAATAGTAGAAGGAGAATGCAGGACATGGGAAACAAAGGCAGTCATCCTTGGTATGATGAACACCCTGCACTTCACACCTTGTCCCAGTACTAGCCCCAGAATAGCAAGGATTTAATTGGCCAACTTCTGATCCAGGAACAGCCATTATCTCCTTGAATTTTTACAATCCCAAGGAAAAGGGATTCGAATCTTCATTTGAGAGATGAAGTCTGAGTATCAGAGCATGAAGTTACTTGACCAACCTCATATAGCAAATCAGAACTTTATCTGGAATTTACAATAAGGACTTTGTTTATCATTTGAGTTGTATAGTTGATGTAATTTTCTCATTTTCCAACATACTTTTCTCCTGTAGTAGCAAAGGCAAGCAGAGAGATGGATTTTCTTCCTCGTCCCACATCCCCACCTTGTTCTTTTTGTATCATTGACAGAAAACCAGAACATTATCTTTGTGACACTAGAAAACTTGCAATTCTGACACTGAAAGAAACTGAAGCCAGTGCCAGTTTTCCTTATCTTGGTTCAATAATTCCATCCTCAGAGCTATTCACTGCCACTGGCCATCGGAGCTCCTCTGCTTCTACAGAACAATGACCTCTCATTGCACAGTTACCTTCATCCCAAAACACCAGAGTGATTTCTAGTTAGGATAGTGAATTGTGACCAACAATTAAATACTAATATGTCAATCTAAATAACAATTCACTGAAGATAAGCCTTCTACCTATTTTTCAAAACTTTGGAGTTATTATTCAAAGACCACTACGGTTTATTAACACTTCAGTCTGCCTTGTAAGCTATTGGGTGAAAAGACACAAAAAATGTCAAAATCAAATTTTTTTGTCCTTGAGGACATGTGTATAAGATAGGGTATATGTAGTGGTCAGAGGAGAGGAATGAACAGTAAGTAAGCAAGTAAATGAGTAAGTAAATGAGGTGATGGGAAAGTCTTCCTGAAAGAAGTGAAAACTGAGAGGTGATTAGGATTTGAAAACACAAGAAGGGGCCAGGCACGGTGGCTCACACCTATAATCCCAGCACTTTGGGAGGCCAACGCGGGCAGATCACGAGGTCAGGAGATCGAGACCATCCTGGCTAACACAGTGAAACCCTGTCTCTACTAAAATACAAAAAATTAGCCAGGTATGGTGGCGGGCACCTGTAGTCCCAGCTACTTGGGAGGCTGAGGCAGGAGAATGGTGTGAACCTGGGAGGTAGAGCTTGCAGGGAGCTGAGATCGCGCCACTGCACTCCAGCCTAGGTGACGGAGCAAGACTCCATCTCAAAAAAAAAAAAAAGAAAAGAAAACACAAGAACGGTTAAAAAAGAATGATCTAGACCTGGAAGAAGAGGGTAAACAAAAGCACAGAGGAAAAATATATGCAAGGAATGGTATAGACATTAAGGAAATAAATTTCATCAGAGAATTAAATTGTGAAGAAAGGAAAAAAAAATAAGTTCATAAGTTACTGTCAGAAGCTTGTACCATGTGGAGTGTTACAGAACAGGGCAGGACAATTGGACTTCATCCAGTTGACACTGGGGAGTTTCTAGGGGTTGAAGTAAGAGGCCATGATGTAAGGGATGTTTAAAAAAGGTCAAACAAAGTCAAATGAAAGGAGCAAATTTTAGTATTTCATACTATAATAGAAAAATTATAGTTTATAATTTAATGTATATTTCAAAATAGCTAGAAAACAAATATTGCAATGTTCTCAACACAAAGAAAAGATAAATGCTTAAGGTGATAGATGCCCCAATTACCCTGATTTGGTCGTTGCACATTGTATACAGATATCAAAATATCACACATACCCAAAAAAGATGCACAACTATAATATAATATATCAATGAAAAAAATATGAAAATAAGTAACCCCCACCCCTGGAAAAAAGTTCAAGGTGGAGAGGTTATTTCAGGGTAGAGAAACAATTGTTAGACATAATTCAATTGTCCAATGAAAATTGTTGGATACCCGGAAAAAAAAAAGGAATGAAAGAGTGAAAACAAAACGCATCAAAAAACAACATAGTTGGATCTAAAATAGTAGAAAGAAACATCACCTCGAGTAAATGGCTGAAGGATTTTGCCAGTGGTTCTCAAACTTGAGTATGTGTCAGAATTTTCTGAAGAATTTGTTAAAACACAGATTTCTGGGTTTGAACTCCAGAGTCTGTCCTTAGGGTATAAAATGACAGGCAGGCCAGGCACAGTGGCTCACACCTGTAATATCAGCACTCTGGGAGGCCTAGGCGGGCAGATCACTTGAGGTCAGGAGTTTGAGACCAGCCTGGTCAACATCGGGTGAAACCCTGTCTCTACTAAAAATACAAAAATTAATCAGGCATGGTGGCACATGCCTGTAGTCCCAGCTACTTGGGAGGCTGAGGCATAAGAATGACTTGAACCCAGGAAGCGAGGTTGCAGTGAGCCGAGATTACGCCATTGCACTCCAGCCTGGCTGACAGAGTGAGACTCCATCTCAAAAAAAAAAAAAAAACGCAGGCAGGCAGAGACATCCTCAAAAGTCCCTAGAAGGTGGGATTATGTATCTGATACTCAACATCGAACACCATATTGTATACATTTCATTTCCCATGGTCAGAGTAGGTGTGCAGTAAAGGCAGGAGATATTGTATTCCTGCTTATTAAATCTCACTTGTCATTTGAACATATAATACCATAAACATGTTTCTTTTCCCAAACACCAATTGCTGCACCCAGGCTCCCTTTCTGAGGCCAGAACAGCAATTTAACAATCACATCACCCAGCAGTGATATGCTATGCATTTTCAGAAATTATCCAAAATGAGAACTCCTGGGGTCCATAACTCAGCTCTCCCCTTCCCACATGTGCATGATTTCCTTTGCCTCCTATTATGCTCTTTGGACCTGTAGTCATGCAAATGACACAAATGAACAGCTGCATTCAGCCAACCAGATGGTCACATGTGGGAAGAGATGGGATGGAGACAATAGAAGTAATAGCCTATAAAGTAAGTTAGTGCTACCGAAATTCTACATTTTTTCTATTAAAACCAAGTGAAAGATTAATTATTTCCATCCGTATTCACTTAACAGAGGGAATTAATCTCAAAGGCCCAGTAAGAAATTTTCAGCAAAATTTCACAACTGCTTATCCCAAAATAGGAGAGGAGAGTGATTGAATGTGTGTTGGAGAATGTGATGGAAGCAATGAACAGGTTTATGTAAAACTCTGCTTGCTTGAGATATATAGCTAAATTGCTAGGTGGTTGGGGAAGAGAACAAGAAGGAATCCATTCACTCTTTTGAATTAATACTGAACCCTGATGAAACAAAAGATGGTCTTTTTCTTCCTAGGTGCTATTCTTCTCTGAAATCCAAGCTATTTGAAATGACGATATAAACTTTTCTCAGTTCACAACAAAATTTGTGTTTAACATGGGTCACATTTAAAGACTCTATGTACACTCATATTTTGTAGACATAGGAATATTTATAATCTTTCTAAATTTTTCATAGTCATGTTTTTACTTTCCTCTTTCACAAAGTCCTTTCTCGGAGCAGGTTATATGTATATAACAATCTTCATTCGTAATAGCACATTTGGTCATATTTCTGTATCTGTGGAGACAGAGAAATGTATTCTTATTGTGATGGGTACTGCTGCTTTGCAATTTACAGATTTACTTACTGAAGAACCATAAAGTTTATAAATGGCAATTAAAACTCAGGATGAGGGTATTTAACCCATACCTTCATTAATATAAAAAGCAATATTGTTCTGTTGACTCTATATTCTTTACAGAAGCATCTAGGGCCCAGATCTTTTGTAAGTAGTTACATAAAATAAAAAGAATGTTATATTCCATTGTATATTAGTACTTAAAAAATAATGAGACACAGGACATAAAACCATTTTCTTTTTTTTTTTTTGTAGTTCTATTAAAAATAAACATTTGACTTCATTATTAGATATCAAAAGAAAATATTTTCAGTAAAATTAACTGAATAATAAAAGAAAACTGTAAAAAATTTAAAATATGAAAAAAAGAGAGGCTGGATGCAGTGGCTCAGGCTTTTAACCCCATCATTTTGGAAGGCTGAGGCAGACAGATTGCTTGAGCCCAGGAGTTCAAGACCAGTCTGGGCAATATGGTAAAACTCCATTTCTACAAAAAATACAAAAAATTAGCCAGGCATGGTGGCACATACCTGCAGTCCCAGCTACTCGGGAGGCTGAGGTAGGAGGTTCACTTGAACCTGGGGAGGTCAAGGCTGCAGTGAGCCATAATCATGCTACGGCACTTCAGCCAGGGTGACAGAGTGAGATCCTCACCCCACCCCACCCCACCCCACCCCAAAAAAGGGTAAGAACCAAATGCTTAACCTTGATTTTATTACATATAAATATTTTAGACCTCTTTTCTGGTTATAAAAGTGAAGCATGCTTATTTGTAGACAACTTGGTAAAGTGCCAAGAGTATAAAGAATAAAATTTTTAAAAAACCATTATTCTAAGGAAAATCAGTATTAATACTTTGCTATATTTTTTTCTCATCACTTGTTTGTACATTAAACACATATATAGTTATATATGAATGTACTAAAAATATCCTATATTTGAAATAGTCAATGCTCCCTTGAAAAATGCACTATTATATATTATTCCCTTTTCCATAATATTCACATTTTTCAGTCACAGAGTATGAATTATTACCCAATCTAAAATCATATATATCAATATGAAATTTAGTTGCTACTAATAACGATGTGATAAACTTATTTCCTATTATTGGACTTCTCCTATATTTTTGCACTGTGATGAACTGGACAGAAATTTGGCAAGCAACTAATCAGCCAGAGCTAAAATGGACTTTTTAGTTGATTTTATAGAGTATGGAAGAGTCAAGCAGTCATTCATTCAAATAGTTTTTAATAACTACTCTTTTTTTAGGCACCCTTCTATGGGAGATATTTCAGTAGATAAAACATATAAAAGTCTCTGGCTTCATAAAGCTTGGATCCCAGTGTTGCCATTTATTAAGATAGAGAAAAGTCAAATAGAAAGTGTTTCGTGGGTTTTAGGTGGGAGGTTGGAGTTGTGAAAAATTCTGTTTCGAACACGTTCGATTTGAGGTGCCCCTGAGGTATACAACTGAAGGAGCTCAGGAAAGAAGTCTGGGCTAGAGATATTGGTTTGGGACTTGTCAGCATACAGATGGGAATTAATACCATGAGAATAGATATAATCATCCAGAGAAAAAGGCTGACCGGGAACTACTGAGAATGTAGGACTTAACACCTATGGAGCACCAACATTTTAAAAAGAGGTATTTGCAAAGAATATGGGAAGAGAAAAGAGGTAAATGAGACTCCTAAAGTTATGGAGCCAAGGAGCCAAGATGAGGAGTGGGTGTGTTGGCGGAAAACAAAAAAAAGAGAGAGAGAGAGTGGCAACATTTTTTGAGAAATCAACAAATATAAAGACTAAGTGCACATTTAGAAACATGAAGTTCATTACTAACAGGAATTAGAAATACGACCCTACTCTGACGGCTATATACTTCTCTGCCATCTTTCCTCCATTGTTCTCACTTTGTTTTAGCCACTTCCTTCTGTCGTTATACCCTGTAATTTGTTCCTTTTGCTGTGCCACTCCTGAAATCAGACATTATACTCTGAGATCATCAGCATCATTTCTCCCATTTCACTCCCTCAAATGCTTCTAATACAAAAATCTATTTGACATTACACCCCTTGGAGCACTGATCTCTTTTCTTTGTATCCATTAGCATTTTCTGTTCTATAGTCCAACACTCTCCCAAGAACATTGATCAGCCTTTACCCAGTAAACCAGGAATACTTTAGGGGCAATGGTCATGTGACAATACTCTTGCACTTGTGAACAAATGGAAATGGGAGATTCAGCATAAAAACAAGGTGCATTCTTTTAAGACTTTTGTTTTAATAAGTGGGAGATGAGTTTTAGCAATCTCTTAACAGCAAAACCCAGTAGGAGGCACTGCTACAGTTCCATAGTGGATTTAACTCAATTCCAATTAGAAACTCTCAACTCTTTTGTGATGTCCATTAAAAAAAACCCACCCAAATACCTGATTTTATCACTTATCCAATGAATTCATGTCATTTAGAAATTTCCTGGAGGAGACTGGTTGGACCTGTGGAAAATGGAGTGACTGGGCTAAATGGCTTTTGTCTTGGTTTGGGTTCCCCCAAAATCATGGGATAAGGATTCATGTGCAGTGGTTTATTGATATGTGATACCACGGAGGGGCGGGGGGAACAGTAAGGAAAAAGGGAGTGGAACAGGGAAAGAGGGAAAGAAAGGCAGCCAATAAAGGGGATTTTATTATGCCAGTTAACCCATTGAGTAACTGGAGCTTAATCCTGCAGGATTCATTGTACAATATGGGACTCAGAGTTACCTCCACTTCTCACTAATCCCCCGGTAGGAGCTGGAGTATTTATACCAACTAATAATGATCCTCAGTTAGCACAGTGCCCTTGGGGGAAGAAACAGAGAAAGCCCTCAGGAAGGAAGTCCTGCATTACAATACGAAAGCAGCCTCTGCTCCAGCCTGTTCTGATGCCCTCCTCTCCAAAGATGCCCTGAGAGCTCTAACATTCTATTTCCAAGGTATAGGATTCTGTAGAAATGTATGGACCCCTATTTGGGGAAAGGATTTTGTTTAAAAATTGTTTTATAGATTTGAAGAGATTTGAATAATTATATTCAAAGCATTTCTATTTATTATTCAGGAGACTCCTTTTTTATTGAATTTCATTTAAATAAACCAGTATGGAAACTGTCTGGTTTGTCTAATCATATAACTCAGTAGAAAGAGATAGTTCCACAATGCACAGATAGCTGAATAAGCCCTAACTTGAAGGAAAGTTTGATCTTGTTCTCCTAATTTTATTCTTCTTACCTCTCTCCTTAATCAACATAGGTTGGCTTCAGTTCAGCATGCCAATTAATCTCCAAATCCCAGTGGCTTACCACAACAAAGGATTGTTTTTCAATCATACTATATGTCCATAGTGGCACCATAAACATCTCTGCTCCACATTGCCATTCAAGGACCCAGGCTAACAGAGAGTTCATCTTCTCATAGGTACACCCCATGCAAGAGGCAGCCTCTTTTGTCACTGCAGCAAGGGAAAAAAGTATGAAGAATGTTGAATATAAAAATGCTCTAGGAATAAATGCTCAGTGACACAAAGTAAAACCAGCACTCAGGCAAAAGTTTAATTCTCTCAGCAAGGCAATTTACTTCTGCAGAAAGATGCTACCTGTGTTAATCAAGATTGCAAGAGCACGCAGAACAAAGGAGACCGGGGGAGGCGAGGTTTATCCTTAATGCAGTCCCTATCTCTGTGTGACTCCCCCATGGGCTGGGGTCGAACTGCACAAACTGAGCTGACCCAATTGGCTACTTGTACATATTTTCCTAAATATAGAAGGGGAGGGGGACATGAGGTACAGATGTGGAGCATGTGAGACATGCAGTTTCAGGGGAACAATGGGTACAGGTAACCAAGGGAATGGATGTGAGTTATTGATTAGAGCTGATGGGAAGGGGGTAGGCTGTTTATGGTAACTAGGGGCAAGGAAGAACAAGAAAGTTGAGTTTGAGAACAAAGGATAAGGAAGTTAACAGGCTAAACTCTTGGAAGATAAACTCAGAAAGATTTATTGTATCTTACAAGAATCACATGAGTTTTCACTGTCTTGACTCAGTAATGACAAATCATGTCTGCCCACATTGGCCAGAACTATTTGCATTGCAAAACCTAGCTGCAAGGTGCTGAGGAGTGTAGGGTACAAAGAGTATATGTGATGAGCATTATTGTTTCAGCCATACCTACCAAATAGAAAAGACTTCCAAGATCATCCAGGCCAAAGATTTTCCATTTGTGCATGCCAGGAGCTCTATTGCTCCCAGCATTCATTAGGGATTCTTGAAGGTGAAAAAGTTATTCTGCCCCCTCCCTCATGTTAATCAGAAAAGCTTTTCTTCATTTTTCCCCATATTGATGTTCCTCATACAATTTTGTTTGAAGAAAGGATTTTGTTGCTTTTTAAAAAAACATACATTTGGACTGCACCAAATGTAGTCTAACTTTTTCAAAACCAAGCCACAGTGATATACTTTTTTTAAGGTCATGCAGCTGGTCAGTAGAAAACCTTATATCAGAACGTTGCTAGGACATTGTCTACCATGACGTTATGCCTGTATGATCTCCTCATTGTTGGGAAAACCTGTTTCTAAGAAGTTTGTCAGGATTATCTCGAAAAACTTAAGCCCAATGTGATTTGAAAAAAGAAAAAAAAATGGAAGAAGAAAACAAGAGAGAGAAGCACATGGCGGTAGGGAAGAAGCTTTAGTAAAGTGAAAACCGGGGTAAAGAAGCAGTCAGAAAGAAGTGCAGGAGGTGTGAAGAAGCTGTGAGCCCAGATGAGAGAGCCACGCTGTCTAGACTCCAGATGTGAGTACATGTCTTCAGTGAGTCCAGCGCTGGACTCTGTAAACACTTTCCCCAGATGTCATGGCTAAGCTACAAATCCTTGGACGGGTGACAGAATTGGCTGTTGTTCTGTTCAGTGAGTGACTGGTCACGCTGCAGGCTGCTCTGAGGTTACAACACCAGATAACGAGACTGTCTTACAGTCAGTCTTGGATGACCTTGAAGAAGTGAGGCACAGCACTGAGCCCTCTTGAGTGCCTCCAGAGACAAGTCGGTAGAGCCCAGGCTCTCAGGTATAACCACCCACCCAAATGGAGATCAACCTGACCCCAAAAAGGCAAAATGATAGAGAGAAGCTGAGTAAATAAAGTAGAAATAGGCTACTGTTTGCTAGCAGCAGAATTTTGGGTAAATTGCTATATCTTTCTGGGATTCTCTTTCCTCTGAGGGATTTAATCAAATGGTCTCTAAGTTCCATTTGAATCACTTGAACCCCAGAGGTGGAGATTGCAGTGAGCTGAGATTGTGCCATTGCACTCTAGCCTGGGCAACAGGAGTGAAACCTCGTCTCAAAAAAAAAAAAAAAAAAAAAGGTAAGTCAAACAGATAGAGAAGAAAAGTTCTAGGCAACCACTTGAGATACGTTGAGGAAGCTGAAAGTAGTGCATATTGACTCTGCCACTTATTGCCTGTGTTACCAAGAGCATGCTATTTAACTTCTCTGTGCCTCAGCTTCCTTATCTGGAAAACAGGCCAATAATAGGTTGCACAGAGGATTGTTGTAAACATTAAATGAGATGGTACCTACTACAGAGCCTACCAAGTAGGAGGTACCCAAGAAATGATATCAAAGTATCATATTATGGTTTGGGGTTTAAAAAGAACAACACAAAAGTCAACACATTGCCAAGCCTTTAGCTTTAGCACTTGGTTAAGTAGTGTTGCCATTCACTCATTTAAGTTATATAGGAAGAAAAGGCAGATGAGGAAGAAGAAAGTTAGCGAGACAATAAATTCAATTCTGGATGTATTGAGTTGAAGGCAAATGTGCAAGCAGCAGATGGAGTGTACAATAAGTGGCTTAATGTATACATCCAGAGTAAATGAGAGAGATCTGGTTGGAAGATGTCAACACATATATGTCAAGCCGACTGTAAGGCGCACAAAAATAATGCCTTAAATTTCTGCTTTGGTGTCATATTTTGTCCTTCTGAAAAACTTTTTTTCTTTGATCCACATTCCTATCACACCTGTAGCTATCAACAAGTAAATTATTAGCTGAATTGGAAACATTAAGAAAACTGAAAACTAAATTGTTTTTTGTTGTTGTTGTTGGTTTTTTTTTTTTTTTTTGAGACAGAGTCTTGCTCTGTTGCCAGGCTGCAGTGCAGTGGCACAATCTCGGCTTTCTGCAACCTCTGCCTCCTGAGTTCAAGCGATTCTCCTGCAGCCTCCTGAGTAGCTGAGACTACAGGCACATGCCACTACGCCCAGCTAATTAAAATTTTTAAGACTCTAAGATACAACACCAATAAATAGGTTTTTGAAACCTGACCGTCAAATGAAGTTGAACTATTGGGTCAACTTGGCCAAGCCACAAAGATAGCCACAGGCTCCTAAGGCGTGTGTGTGTGTGTGTGTGTGTGTGTGTGTGTGTGTGTGTGTATATATGTATATATATTCCCCTAAACCTGCATTATTTTCTGAAATGGTGAGGGTGGTAGATTCATAGGTGCCATCAGACCATATCTGATGAAGTGAAGACTTTAGATTTTTCCTGACATTTCTTCCTATCCAATAAATCAAATTAGCTACAAAACATCATCAGTGTAGCAGATCTGCCTGCCTCTTCTTTCGGTTTTTCATTTCAAATTAATATCAGATAAAATAATTAATGACTTTCTAAGAATTTTCCAGATCAAAAACATATACATGAGAAAATTGTCATTTTTAAGAGGAAGAAAACAATTTTATTTAACATAAAACTTATTGAAAAATTCAAAGGCTGCCAACTGGGCAGGAAATTAAGGTGAAGTCTCTGAAAAGTCTCTCTGCTCATCAACAGGAGGGAACAGCAGGAGGCCTGGTGGCTGTTTCCTAGACGTTTTCCACATGAAGTCCTTGTTTTGTAAGGCTATAAACTGTCCCAGATAGTATCTCCTTCCCTCCCATAGAGTCTAAAACTACCAAGCCTCAACTCCAGAATATTCTCATCCTACCAGGCCTTCTTTTCTGCCATTTTCTATGCTCTTAGACTTCCTGGAATCCCAAATTCTGGTTTACAATTCGCTTTCTTTTAACCATTGAGCTCTCTGTCATAGGTGCTGGGAAATTAGTGGCAAGAGAAAGCTCAGGCTTAGAGCAATATATATATATTTTCAAATGGAAATGGGAGGGAGGGGTGCAAGAGCCTTTGAAGATTATTTAATTAATGTTAAATCTGAAATGTAAGCCAGCACTCTATCTAGGACAACTCTCCCACCACTCATGATGTAACCCTTATATTGAAGCTGCTACTACCATTTCTGCTTTAAAAGGCAGGAGATTTTGTGTTAGAAAGTGCAAAGTGTGTGCTATCCCCCCACCTACTCTCTCTCTTGCTCCTACTCTGGCCATGTGATGTGCCTGCTCCTACTTTGCCTTCCACCATAAGTGAAAGCTCCCTGAAGCCTCCCCAGAAGTCAAAGAGATGTGGACACCATGCTTGTGCAGCCTGCAGAACTGTGAGCCAATTAAACCCCTTTTGTTCATAAATTAACCAGGCTCACGTATTTCTTTATAGCAATGGAAGAGCAACCCAATTCACTGGTTCTATCTTTTGTTTTTGGGTTTTTTTTGAGATGGAGTCTCACTCTGTCACCCAGGCTGGAGTGCAGTGGTGCCATATTGGCTCACTGCAAGATCCGCCTCCCAGGTTCACCCCATTCTCCTGCCTCAGCCTCCCAAGTAGCTGGGACTACAGGCACTCGCCACACCGCCCAGCTAATTTTTTTGTATTTTTAGTAGAGATGGGGTTTCACCATGTTAGCGAGGATGGTCTCGACCTCCTGACCTCATGATCCACCCATCTCAGCCTCCCAAAGTGCTGGGATTACAGGCATGAGCCACCGCGCCTGGCCTGGTTCTATCTTTAATATCAGTTTGAAATCAGGCAAATCATTATCAGGACTTTAAAGTTCAATTCGCCCCTCTGTGTTCTGGCATCATTTTCTTCATATCTCTGTTTTAGAAATTCTTCACTTTAATTGTCTTAATCTGTTCAGGCTTCTGTAGCAAAATACCAGTATAGGGGTCCAATCCAGAGTGAATGAGGCTAATACAGAAAATCTCCATGAAAAAGAGACAGCAGAAACAAGTAGAAAAATTAGAACTTGTGATCATGGAATATCTAAAAGAAATAAGAAAATCAGCATATTGAACATGATGGTTTAAAAGAAAATAAAAAACATAATGGAAGAATATGATTTTATGGAGAAAAAGTGGATTTATAAAATATCCAAATAGAACTACCAGTCATTGAAATAAAAATCAATGGGAGGTATAAAGAGCAGAAAAACACAATTGCAGAGAGAGTTAGTGAAATAGATGATAGATATGAGGAAATTATACAGAACACTATAGCTAACATTAATAATAATCATAATCATAAACAGCAAAGAAGGTTCAAAAGATATAGATGATAGAATGAGAATGACTAAAACACAAAGAATAGGTTTTCCAGAAAAAGTAGTTGGAAAAAAATAGTGCAAACACATTATTCAAAACATTAATGGCTCAGATTTTTTTGGCATTGAAAAACATCATGAGTGCTCAAATTGAAGAAGCACACTGAGACAGGCTAAAAAACAATTCTGCATTTAGACAGTAATAAAACTAAAGAAACCAAAATCTTAAGAAATTTTAAAAGCAATCAGAGAAATGTGGCAGGTCCCTTATAATAAACACAAATTTGCAACAAAGAAGTCAAAAGGCATAAGATTTCTCAAAAAACTGAGGGAAATAACTATAAACTTAAATTTCAACACCAGCCAAACTATTACAAAAAGTGAAAAAATAATGTTGGAAAATAAATTAAGATAATTTATCATCCACAAACCTTTGTTATAAAAATCACAGAAATATAAATATCATTTGGAGAAAAGTTCAAACGAAAGGAGGCAATGAAACCAAGAACCTAAAATATCCAAAGAAACTGAGAGACAAACTAAGGGAGTATTGGTTCTAAAAAGCCATAATAATTAACATAAATAATTTTGGTATGGTACAAATAAAACTCAAAAATAGTAATCATAAAATGGAAAATAGAAGGCTTAAAGCATTCTAATGTCATTGCTTTTGTAGGAGTGTTAGAGATAAATTATTTAACTTTAAACGCTGTTAAATTAAAAATGTCATAAGAAAATTGAAAGAGAATAAATATATACATAACTTCATCTCAGTACAAAGAGTGAAAGGAAGGAAGGAAGGAAATATAGTTCAGTCAATCCGATAAAATGCATAAGAGTAAAGCAAAGGAAAATATTTAAACATCCCACATATATAGTAGTCTTAATAAAATTAAATAGATTTAAATTGCTTGTTGTTTTGGCCAGTGACCAAAATATAGAATAAAATCCAGCTATATGCTGTCTATGAGACACTTAGGATATAAGTACACAAATGCTTTGAAAGTTAAAGGATAAAAAACACATCTGAGAAAATATTGTCAAAAATAAAGCTTGCTTAGCCATGTTAATAGCAGATTTAAAAAGTCTCTAGAAAAAAAAATCACATACAGAAAAGACAATCATTACATAATAATGGAAATAAAATTGTAAGAGTTATGTAGCAAATGTAAGTTATTTTTGGCACATAGCAATGTAACTTTATATAAATCAAAGATTAATAAAATTGTAATGAGAAACTAATAAATGCAAAGTGAAAACTGTTGACTCAAATTCACAAAAAACAAATCAGGAAGCAAATAAAACTAAAAATTCTAAAGAAAAAAGAAAAGAGAAAAAAAGAGGCTGAGCATGGTGGCTCATGCTTGTAATCCAAACAGTTTGGGAGGCTGAGGTAGGAGGATCACTTAAAGCCAGGAGTTTGAGACCAGCCTGGGCAACATACAAAACATCTTCTCCACAAAAAATAAAAAAACTTAGCCTCATAGTCTTGCATGCTGTAGTCTCAGATACTGGAGAGGCTGAGGTGGGCTAACTGCTTGATCCCAGGAATTTGAGGCTGCAGTTAGCTACGATTGTGCCAATATACTCCAGCCTGGGTGACAGAGTGAGATCTTCTCTTGAAAATAATATATTTTTTTAAAAAGTAGAAAAGTAATTTGAGCAACAAAGTAATAA